TTGTACCACCTAACACGGGTTACAAAGAGGGAGTATTAATTGCTGTATTGCATGTGAAAACTTATGGGCCGACACTGTTTTGAGAAAACAAACAGATTTTTACATGACATGATTAAATATCGAGGTAAAACAACACAGAAATGGGATCAATTTGGATCAGTCATTATACAAATAGGGCCTAACGACACCAATCGATTTTGACAGAATCGTCTATGACAACAAGTTGTAACTCGGAAACTAGGCAAAGCAGGAGACAAAATTAAATGACAGTAGATTGTGAGAACATATAGCTTTCATTTTCCACAACAATTGTCACGATTTCAGGTTTATACAAGCCTGTAAACACGATAATTTACCCCCTAAAATGTAGATGAATTCTGCATCGGCTCTCAAAGCTATTCCTCATATGACGTCACAGAAGTAGCTCTGATTGGTTGAAATTTCGTTCGCGGGTGAGAATTGTGCACTGTTGTCAAAAAGGTCAATTTAAGTCAATTAAAGGTCGAAATGAGTAGTTTTAATGACGGGGTTTCATTTATAACGATGCCAGTTAGTGATTTATGTATTTGTACCCCCTAGGGTTTATGTGACCTTTAAGATATGAATAAGCTTAAGCTACCTATATAATAGCAAAACTCCTTAGAGTTTGTTAGCCAATATATTTTAATAATATGAGTATAGTACTATGCTTAAGGTATAATTAGCTTAAGTTACCTATATAATAGTAAAACTCCGTAGAGTTTGTTAGCTTAATTAACTTAAGCTATGTATAAAATAGCCAAAAACTCTGTAGAGTTTGTTAGCTGATGCATTTATCATGTAACCATAATATTACTCTTAAGATATGAATAACTTAAGGTAAATATATATAATAACAAACTCTGTAGAGTTGTTAACTTATATATTGTATGATGTAATAATCATAGTACTGTGATGATAAAAGGAACTTAAGTAAATTATATATAGCATGAAGCTATTTAGTATTGTTATAAGATAAGTAAAATCTGTTAGATTGACTTATCTTCTCCGAGGAACTGTCAGCTGTTGTCGCGAGGACCATGGGATCAATTGGTGTATACCTGAGGCGTCCTCGGTGGTGATATCTCTCAGATAATGGTTTGCAACCACCATATCGGATCTCCAGAAATAAACCCTCCAATATTTCAATCACATTTGTGTGGAACAATTGTAGAAGTTAAGCTATAATATCATGAGTATTAAGCTCATGGAGGGTCGGAATAGGTCCATCCGCATATGCACGCAGTAGTATGACAGTTCTGATCCAAATGGAGATATAGTACATGAGACTTCTCTCTGCGTAAGTTGATGATAGAGGAAATAATCTGTTGCATTTTTTACTCCTGTTTGGTTTGGTGGAGATAAATTTACAGTGCTCTTGCTGGCCATCTTGATAGAATCATCGTATCATGGGGTCCAAGTATGTCATCCAGGCGTGTTCATAAACCTCACTTGTGAGGTGTTGGAGCACTATATTCATATCCCCAGGTTGGGCGAAATTTCCGTTTATTCTCCAAACAGAAGTTTAGTAGGTTTACTAACCATCTAGTTGTGTTAGTTAAACTTGATGAAATTCAGCTGTAGTCTGAAACGCTGTGGATTTAGATCCACTTGTATCTTTCGTCTAGGTAATTAAGCTCATAAGTCCTTGGACGATGTAGGTGCACAACCAGGTGTGTCTGTCCTCGTTGAACTTTATGTAAAATCGCCTGACTGCCGATCCCTCGTCTTAACTTGACAGGGGAGGTCTCTATCTTGAAGAAAGGCAGTCTAATCATGAATGTTCAGGTTAACTGGACTGTAATGAGGCTTGCTCGTTCACTGATATATAGTTGTCACTTGTGACGTAAGTCTTGAACTGTGAATAGAGATCGACCTCTGTGTAGGTCGTTGTCCCTCGCGGTCCAATCAGAACAAGGCATTTTGATTCTGTATAATACCCGCTGTGATGTCACCGGTGTAGCGGAAAAACCCACCTTGAATAAATTCTTGTCGTCGTTGATATTAGCATAAACGTCGGTCTTCACCGTAGCTTCCGGTTATCCGAGTGGCGTGTTTCGAGGGTTAATGGTAACAGCGAAACCTCCGACGCACGAAATATCTCGCTCTGTAATTTTATGCTGGGTAGGTTATTTTCCTGGTTGTCGTGAAAGTAATTTCAGTTTTGAATATAATTCCGACTTCCTTATATATAAGGGTATAAACAACTTGCAAGTTGTGAGCTTGTAGACTGTATACATGAATGTATCGTCATAATTGTAGAATTAACGTTGAACTTGTTGTACATATTTCTTCTCAGAAACTTTGACGATTAAGAGTTATACTGCTGTAACAAGGCTGCTGTTCAATTTCGATATTGAATTGTCTGCAGATATGCGTAATGGTCACATGTAGATAATCGTATCGTCGTCGATTGGGATTGTATATTAGCAATTTATACGGAATAGTTGATTTCTGTGAAGATCTATGAAATGTCGTTGACTAATAATACAGCGGCGTTCTGTGTTGTAAATAGCCTGAGCAATTATCTTCGTAGGCTTATAGGCGGCATCTGGCATACAGTTGATAATCAACTTATGCGGCGTCTTGAACGGACTGACGAGTAGCTATATATGACGAGTGGCTAGTATATGGAAACCTTGGAGGAGACTTCCTCGGTGAACGCCGGAGACTTCGCGAAGTTCTCGAAGTATCCTTCTAGATCTTCTGGGTGAAGTAGACTTGGAGCCACTTAGCCTTAGCGACCATCGCGAAGGTGTCGAAATCAAAGCCCGATTAGTATATATATATATATATATATAAATATATATATGAGCGCTTGTTTCGTGAACAGCCTCTGTGTTTAACAGGATGTGGGATCGGTGGCGCTTGCCTAAAATATGGCGCATGGATCATCTTATCATATTCAGAAGTCGTGTTCACGAAGTCTGGTGATAAGTGTCTAATTGATCGTTCTAGATCTATTTAGGCCAGCGAACATACGCCTCGTCATGGATTCAACAGAACCAATATCACGATTGTAGTTCTTATACTTGATATCGATGATCAACTTGTCTATGGGTTGATCTTCGGAGACTTGTGAGAGGAACGTTGATAGTTTGCGAAGCTCTTGTATAGTCCCTCGATGTCCTTCTAGATGATGATGATCTGGATTCAGGTGTCGCCGGCGCATGCCTTCGCGAAGCTTCCTCTGCGTCCGGTCGAGGGGCGACGATATGACCTTCGCCAGAAGGCTTCCGTGATGTCTGATGGTCGAGTCCACATCTAGGGATGAAACCGCATAAGGTGATGATCTATCCTGCCTTCGCGAAGTCCTTCGCGAAGGCTGTACATCTAGGTTCTTTCGCCTTCGCGAAGGCTGTACATCTAGGTCCTTTCGCCTTCGCGAAGGCCTTCCAGCGAAGCTGTACATCTAGGTCCTTCGTCAAGGTGGTCCGTGACTTCCTTCGCGAAGGTGACATCGTCCTGGCTGCTACGTTGACGGGGGTGCCTCTGGGGTGCTGTCTCACGTTGGAGCCTTCGCTGGCTTCGGACCCTGCTACCGCGAGATATTGGTCCTCCATGATGTTCATAATTTGTCGCATCATGTCTTCTGGGATGGTCTGCGGCGAGGTCGTCCGGTGCTTTATCTGCGGTGTTAATGGAGGGTCCACCGGAAAATCGTCCGACATCAGTGTAGAGGCATCAGGCTGCATGGTGATCTCTGCTGATGTCATGCGTTGTAGCTGTCCCCGGTCGTTTCTTGTGAAATGCGTCGGGGATGATGATCAGCTGATCATCGTAGAGGTCCAGGTCATCGGCTGGAACAATCTCGGTTGAAAAGTCCTAGTAGACTTCGTTGATTTTCCCTCAGAGGTCGGCGCTGCCCTGGGTGTCGCGACGCCTCTGCGTTGAGTGTTGGTAATGATGGGACCCTCAGGGCGATCATCGCATATCTCGTTGGTACATCAGGCTGCATGCTGATCTGTGCCGACATCGGTCAATCTTTGATGTACATCGGTATGATGACCGGCTGATCATCATACAGGCCCAAACTTCGATGGGAACGGGTCTCGGTTGTTGAGATGTAGTAGAAAAACCCTCTAGTCTTCTGCTGCGGCGATGGGATGTCTGGGGAAGCAGAATGCTTCTTGGAGATGGCGGACTACGTCCCCACACCTCTCCACCACTCTAGCGGAACACCACACGGGAGGAGTCGGCCAACAGCAGTAGACTGGCGAGGGGTTCCGTGTATCAGTCATACTAGACTCTGCATCGCGACCTATCTGCTGTGCGTGCCAAACGCAAAGTAAATATTAATAAAGAGGTAGAATTGGATAAATTAGTACCGCAACTGCAATGTGAATATAATAAACATGGCGCCGTACATCATATTAAAGGTGGATCAGCAGCAGCATAAAAAACGTAATCTGCAATAGTACAGAATTTTCATCAACGTAATCCACTGAAACAAACACGGCGTCCCGTGAATAAACTGTAGAAAAACGACTAAATATCAATATATAATCGTTGAAGGATACTAGCTAAACCTCTATAGATGTCTATACGAGGTAACTAACTAAATATAATCAAAGGATATAGTGTGTCGGGAGACACAGGCGCTCTCACGTCCAGCTCACTGGGCGAAGAAGGAGAGAGTGGGGCACATGGGTAGAGGTGGCGCCCTCGTTCACGCGCTTGTGGAAAGGAGGTAACTCGTGGTGAATACTAATTAGTGATTTTAAATTGAAGGGAGCTTCAATTAGGGAGATACAAGTGTTCCACTATGTTCGCAAGAAGAAGAAGACAAGCAAAAAGAGCATGAGTCAGGATAAGGAAAAATTAACAGATTCTGGTCCACATACTCCAAGCAGGTCTGGCCACCTGATCCTGTTAGTCGTCACAACTTGCATGGGCTGCTGAAGATAAATTTTACCCTTGATCTTCATGGATCTGACCATCATGCCTGTAGCATATGTTTTCAGATAAAGGAATATACTTACCAAGATATTGTCTGGTTTTATATCAGCATGGAGAATGCTGCATCTCTTCAGTAGCTTGAGGGCCAGGAAGAGTTGTTGGCTGTAGGAGCGGACCGCCTTGATGTGCAGGCCGATGTCCTTGCCATACTTCTTGAGGACTTCACGCAGGTTCATACTGAAACACAATGTCAACAGTCATCAGCTTCTACAGCTGTCAACCCCTACTGCATCACAACCTTACCACTTTCAACAGTGTGTCAGTTATATCACAGGAGTTATATCACAGTGTGTCAGTTATATCACAGTGTCAGTTATATCACAGTGTGTCAGTTATATCACAGTGTGTCAGTTATATCACAGTATGTCAGTAATATCACAGTGTGTCAGTTATATCACAGTGTGTCAGTTATATCACAGTGTCAGTTATATCACAGTGTCAGTTATATCACAGTGTGTCAGTTATATCACAATATGTCAGTTATATCACAGTGTGTCAGTTATATCACAGTGTGTCAGTTATATCACAGTGTGTCAGCTTCACATGGGAGGGAAGCAGGACTTCGTCATTTCCCATGATTGGGAAACACATGAACCTGAACACATAATTGGGTGGACCAATATTAGAATTCACAGTCATGCTCAAGGGAGGTAACTCTGTACTGTGAACTGATGTAGCTCAGACGATTGATATTAAGATTCACGGTCAAAGGTTTGAGGCATGCCCAAGGGAGGTAACTGCGTACAGTGAACTGCTGTACCTCAAATGACTGATATTAGAATTCACTGTCAAAGGTTTGAGGCCTGCCCAAGGGAGGTAACTGTGTACAGTGAACTGCTGTACTGGGTCACCCATGCTCCACTACTTCCAAAAACATACAAGCATGTTTGGAATACATGACCACAAAGCAGTGGTTTCTAACTTTCCCTGGTGTTTATCTGGGATTATATGTAATATCCAACTGACCTGAGAGATTCAAATACAAGACAAAGATGGTTCTTGTGGAAGAAGTGTCGATACAGTCGGAGGCAATGGAATTTGTCGTCAGGATCAGCATCATTCAACTTCCTGAGGAACTCAAGCTCTTTCAAACCAGTCTTGTGCCTGAAACAGGAACCATTACAATAACTCTAAAACAACATACCAACAACGTTTACCTGTCCATCCAAAACATCAGACAATCAGGAGTTTGCAACTGATATCCTGTGATAAAAAACACACACTATTCCAACCAACCTCCTGTATCTATAATCGCCACCATATAGCTGGAATATTGCTGGGTATGGCGTTAAACAACAACCAAATCCTGTATATAGTCCATTACACCAGCATTGTACCCACTGCAACATCAAACATTACCCTGGATGAAGTTGTCAAATCGTGTAAAGGAAGATACATAGGTATCGCAATACCTGAACTATTACTGCAATAGACTGCAGTACTAAAGTCAGTTCTCATCACTAGGAAGCCCGGACTGTATCAGTAAAGGGCATGGGGTCTACTTACATCATCTCATTGTTTCGGATGATCTTGATGGCCACATCCTGGCTCCCCCCGGGCAGCATCACGGCCCCTCACCACATTACTGAACACACCCTGGCCAGTGTAGCCGTACACGTTGTACCGCTTGTCCAGCGTCTCGCTGATACGAACACCTACAAACATACACAAAAAGAGGCTGTCATCAGGACAAATACACTCACGTTGCCTCACGCAAGAGTTCATTGCAAATGGCAATTAACCTTGAAATATTGTTTCCAATTTTTCAGTTTTCTTGTATCAATTTTGCTGGACACATTTAGTACTTTCAGTCCTGAGAGGAGATAGAGTGTCGGATTCTTGGATCACATAGATAACCATTTCAGACAATTTTTATTAAGAGTTGTGATGGAACAATGAATCAACTGTATCTGTTGATCACATGTTGTGCCCATTTACACTTCTCAGTGGGGTGCACAAAGTATGTCATCTTGCCGTCCAGATGTGTGACTTCCATCTGTGGGAGCCTCATGGGCCGTGTGGGTTACATTGCTTACTTGGTGTGCCCAACTCTGAGAATGTGAGATGGGACTTCACCAAAAAAGTACTACAATTTGTACTTCACTGAGATAGGCTAAGCTCTCCTTCCTCTCAAGGTCATGTGATAGGTTTTGATACGTCTGATTACGTGAGATCTAACTGCCAGGATTGTGATCACAGTGTTGTCAGGTTCAATTATTTTGTCCCTAACAGTAACACCTCTTGGAATTGGAAATCAACTCAACAACCTGTGTGCATTTACTACCGAGGGGAACCAGAGGTACTGGCATTTAATGACACAGAGTAAAAGAAATAACAATACTGTATTTCTGAGCATCAATCTAGCCCTACAGTATACATTACAAGGAGTCAACTCACGATAGTAGCCCTCTGCATCATCCCAGTTGTCCATCAGGTTGGGGTTGTCATGGACACCACCTATCTGACAACAATCCAGCCCTACAGTATACATTACAAGGAGTCAACTCACGATAGTAGCCCACCGCATCATCCCAGTTGTCCATCAGGTTGGGGTTGTCATGGACACCACCTATCTGACAACAATCTAGCCCTACAGTATACATTACAAGGAGTCAACTCACGATAGTAGCCCTCTGCATCATCCCAGTTGTCCATCAAGTTCGGGTTGTCATGGACACCACCTAACGGGCGCACAAATCCAGGACTCTGAAATTACAATCTCATGAATGTGAATGATGTCGAGGATCAATTAATGAAGCTTTTAGCAATATTCCTATTGACAGTATTGATCAGTGTGAAATTATCAAACACTTCTGTCAATAAAAAACGATACAACTTTCAGTATCTTCAAGAAGATTCCTTGAATGAAAGTATTGCCATATTCATTCAGAATCAATATCATCAAACATGGTTCCACTACAATCCTTCTCTGCATGAACATCTCAGCACACCTCCATAGCAGCTTGTGAACCTTTGGTCCACTCTGACCACCCAATCGAAATAAGGGCTGGACAGATTCTTGAACCAACTATATGTTAGCTTCTTAGAAACATTCAGTTTCCATACCTCAGTTCAGTAATTTCAGATTGACAACAAAAAGCCCCCACAAAATGAAAATATGCCCTTGATAGTGTTACTATTTGGTATAGACACTAATGCATTGAGAACCAGCAGTGGTAACAAAATATCCACATCAAAATAATGGCGTGACTAGCATTATTGTTTGTCAGAAGAAATTATTAACTTTTTTTAGACACAGAAATACAGCATGTTGGTCTGAATGTTTCATTATTAATGCCAGGAATATATAAACCTTGATGATGATAGGCCAATTGGAAAGTTGAATTGATGTGACTGTCTGTGGAGGTGACCAGATCTTCATGTGCCGAGAGATACTGTATCTCAACCAACCAACCCTTGCTTTATGTCTTAATGCTGAATGAAGGCAGGGTAACAACAAGTACCTTTTAACATCCTTACCATCTTTCAGCACTACAGTGCTTTCAGTAACTGTCAACATCTATGAAGTAATTGCAGGTCTTAAAGGTTTACATGTTTGATATTCAACAACTAGAGCATGTTTAACACTCACAGAATAGTTTTCACTGAACATGTCGTTATCTTCTGCAAACATGTCTGCTGTGCCATTGGATTTTTTCTTCTTTTCAGCATCTAGGAACGTAAAAACAGATTTAATTTGTTTCACAAGAGCTATGGGAACAAGAGAAAAGTGACATTTTAACATACCACACATGCTAGCATTGTCTAGGGTAGGGGTAGGAGTAGGGGGTAGGGTAGGGTACTCTGTGTAGGGGTAGGGTACGTTAGTGTTGTCGAGGGTTGGTAGGGGTAGGGTAGTGTTGTCTAGGGTTGGGGTAGGGGTAGGGTACTCTGTGTAGGGGTAGGGTACGTTAGTGTTGTCGAGGGTTTGTAGGGGTAGGGTAGGGTAGTGTTGTCTACGGTAGGGGTAGGGTAGGGTTGCCTAGGGTAGGGTACGTTAGTGTTGTCTAGGGTAGGGGTAGGGTAGGGTTGTCTAGGGTAGTGGTACGCTAGTGTTGTCTAGGGTAGGGGTAGGGGGTTGGGTTGTCTAGGGTAGGGGTAGGTTAGGGTTGCCCAGGGTAGGGAATGCCGGTAGGGTGGGTTGTCTAGGGTAGGGTAGTAGGGTAGGGTTGTCTAGGGTGCTAGGGTTGTCAGTAGGGTAGGGTAGGGTTGTCTAGGGTAGGGGCAGGGCAGGGTTAGTGTTGTCTAGGGTAGGGGTATGGTTGTCTAGGGTAGGGGTAGGGTAGGGTTGTCTAGGGTAGGGTAGGGTTGTCTGGGTAGGGGTAGGGTACATAAGTGTTGTCTAAGGTAGGGGTATGGTTGTCTAGGGTAGGGTAGGGTTGTCTGGGTAGGGGTAGGGTAGGGTAGTGTTGTCTAGGGTAGGGTAGGGTTGTCTGGGTAGGGGTAGGGTACGTTAGTGTTGTCTAGGGTGGGGGTAGAGTAGCGTTGTCTAGGGTAGCGTTGTCTAGGGTAGGGTAGGGTAGGGTAGGGTAGGGTAGGGTGCAATCATTACGTTTATAAGAGGAACTTTACATTGCTGGTCAACAATTTTGTTCAGTTAATATTACTGAGCATCCCTTGCTACTTATCCCTTGTTACAGCATACATATTTGTTCTGCGTTCTTTCTATACATTAGTGTGCACTGGACACCTATTTCTCCATCGCATAAAACTCTGCACACATACCCTCTTCAGTACGTTTCAGTCACCTTTTGTAAAATACACCTTTCTGAACATAAATATCATTCCAATTTAATAATATCATTGACAACTGACTGGTCTCACTTAAGGAAAGAAATGATCCAGAAAGTTAGGATCAATTAATTTTTAGATATATTAAACCTTTCAGACATGATGCCACAAGATGCCTCCTACACTCACTTGTGTCTGTAATGCTCTCTCGTAGCGCACTTCTCTTCTCATCCATTGACTTCTCAAAGTCCTGGGACTCTTCCTCCAAGTCTCTCAGCACCTTGTTGGCCATCTCATCGTCGTCGTCACTGTTGGTGTCCGATGAGGAGGAGTCATCACTACCATGACCATGCTGTCCCTCAGCTCTGTCCTCCTCTGGGGGAGGAGTAGGCTGGCTGGATTCTATATCTAACCCAGGGATGGCACCCTCAGCTCCCAGTCGCTGTGTGTATAGAAACATGAAAATTATATATCCATGCTTTTACCTGATATGTGGACAGTGCAAAGTGATGCGGTTCTTGTGAAACAGTGATACTTCACATCTCTACAGAAACCCACCTGTAGACACACAGTGGTGACAAGCCAATAACCATAACTGTAAGGACCAGTTAGACTCTGGGATTTGAATCCACTATGGTATACATGCATTATACCGGATACCTGCCTGCCATATTTAATTAGGTCACGTGATGCGAGCACGGAAAGGTGAAAAAACATGAAACTGAGATGAAAATAACTCTAACCCTAACCCCTAACTTAACTCTAACCCTAGCCCCTAACCTTGCTAGGTATCTGGTATAATGCATTCTTGCCTCCCCTATCATATCCTGAAAATGCCGAAGGAAGGAGCTATGCACAACCACTCTGATTCTTCACACCAACCATGACTCCTGTCCCTACTTTCAAGTCCACAGATGGAGACATCATAAGGATTCAAACAAACATTGCCCAAGTGGCAACACCTCTGATTCAATGATAGTTGATGAGCTACTGAGTAAACTAGAAAGTAACAGACGTCTCCACCATCCCCCAATTCAACTTTGAAACCTCAAACAATTCACTTGATTCCTTCAATTTCAAAATCTCTACTTTCAAAAAGACCAAGTCCAAATTTGTTGCCATTGAAACAGAAAAAAATAAAATTGAAAGAAACATACAAACCCCCAAAAGGCACATCTACATGATATCGAGAGACTGTACAGCAAATTTGGTGAAGATGGGTCGATGAGTTTCAGAATTATGCTGTGGAAACAAACTCTACCCTTCAAAAAGACAAAGTCCAAATTGTTGCCATGAAAACAGAAAAAAATGAAATTGGAAAAAAAACTCAAACCCCCAAAAGGCACATCTACATGATATGGAGGGGCACGATACCAAATTTGGTGAAGGTTGTTCAAGTAGTTTTGGAGTTATGTTCCGGAAACAATGGGAATGCCAACGCCAACGGAAACTGGGGGGGACATAATGACTGAGGTGAGGTGAAATTGGGTTTAACGTCGTACATGAGAATATTTCGCTCATATCACGATGTGCATGTGTGTGTATGTGTATGTGCAGCTGCTTGTACTAGCCCAGACTTAAGCTGGTTTTATAGTGCTAGCCCACTGAGATACCATGCCGCAGTGAAGCATGAATACCCCACTCAGACACATGATACTGACTCCGAGCCGACCAGTCCTTGTTGTACTCATTAATGCCGAGCACCAGGCAGGGACCAACAAGTACCATATTTAAACGTCTTTTGGTATGACGCGGTCGGGGATCGAACCCGCGACATTCCGCTCTCCGGGCGGACGCTCAACCACTACACCACGGAGGCGGTCACATAATGACTGAATGTAACAGTACTACACCTATTTCACAAAACACCGGGCCTATCTTAGTAATAGCGATAAGATTGCTTTGTGCACCTGGGCCCGGAAACAGAAGATGCAGTGGCTGATGGCATGAGCGGCAAAGTTCCTTGTCAAGGTAAGAAGATGCACACTCATCCGACACACCAAAGTTACACATCACAACCAATAGGGATTCAACATATGCTGAGAAACTACATCTTCAACACAGTTGAGGAGCCAGTGGTCCAAGGAGCCACAATGGGTGGTGCAGTGGCATTCCTTAGTTGTCCCAATAATTTGATGACAGTGGGTTCGAATCCCATATAAAACCTAGCAATTCAGCAACCTTCAAAAGCTCACAGGTTATATAAAAGCTTCATTTAGCATTCATTTGTATACCAGCTTTCCTCCCACGATAATCTAGTTTCGGGGAGATAAGTTTACACTGATCAAAGCGGCAAAAAACTCGCACGAACAATTAGGCCTTTTTAAGACTTGTATTTTGGTTTGAGGAGATCATTAAAGAGCTACTATCAATCAAAGATGTACATGGATGTATGTAGGTATTTTGTCTCAATTAACCAATCAAAGCCAGGATGAAAGTTTGTCTGTCTCACAGTCCCTGAACTGCACTGTTTTCATCACAAAGCAGTGTAACAGAGGAGTGTGTTCTCTTGTCACACCAGGGGCATCAGGGTAGCTTAGCGGTTAAAGTATTCGCTCATCATCCCAAAGACCCGGGTTCGATTACCCACATGGATACTATGTGTGAAGCCCATTTCTGGTGTGCCCCGCTGTGATATTGCTGGCATACTGCTAAAAGTGGCATAAAACTAAACTCACTCACTTTTGTCACATCAAACGCAATGGTGAGGACTATGAGCCATCTAATCACTTGCGGTGTTCCGATGATCGAAAATCATCAAAAATCAATCAAAAATCAATCGAAAGAAGGATTAAAATTGATTATCGATTGTAAAAAACATATTGTCGATTGATCGAATGAAGTAAACTAACCATTAAATTTGATGAATATTCACGAACAAACGTGCGCTCAACAGCATAAAGCTATGTGCATTGTAAAACTTTAACCACTTTTATTGTATAATTACAATTCCAGTGTCTTACTTGCATGCGTGCATTTCGTACACATTTAGATTATAATCGATAATCGTTCACCACAAATCCTCCAATAATCGATGGTGGATTTGGTTTCCGATTCCCAACACTACTAATCACATCGGACACCATCACCATCCGGCACATGGACAAGTGTTTGTGAACACCTACCATTACTAAAGCTCTCCTCATCTTCCTCCTCATTGCAATTTCAGCTTCTTCTTCGGACTCATCCTGGGGGATTTCCACATCCAGTCTACACAACAGAGGAAAACAGCATTGGAAAACAGGCAGCAACATTTACACTGAGTGAGTCAGTGAGTTTTCATGTCCATTGAATTCAGCATACTGTGGCAAGGCTAAGTGCTGCATTTATATTTTCTTCAACCCTATTGAACTATCAACATCTCAGACTTATATTTATATCTAGCCAGAAAAGAATTTAAGGACAGATGAATAAGCGACAGAATAAATAACTTTACAGAAACATCATAGATCACTGCAACCAACACTGGGCTGAGGAAGGTGGGGACCCATATTACATCTTGCAATCATAACATACTGGAAACCTGAGTGAGTCTCCCTGAATATTGCTGTCACATGGAACAAAGGTTGTCATTATCGTTAGCATTATCACGAGGAAATCCTGGAACCAAAACTCACAGGTTGAAGGGAAATAACTCAGATATTTATCACATTAAATAAGAGCATCATAACGAGAAACACTGAGTCGTAACTGTCGATCTGTTTGGTTGCCTCATTTGACATTGCACAGGTTGCTGGGGATCTATTCTAACGAGAATACACATTGGGGTATTTCATAAGGAATAACACGATGACAAACAGCATACAAACTCACTCTTCACTATCAGATGATTCATGCTGCAGTGTCATGCCTTCAGAGAGACTGTCCTTAAACTTGTCTCTTGGTTTAGAAGAATCATCACCGCGGCGCCGACGCCTGTCTCGCGACCTGCTGCGATAACTGCGGTCATCTCGTCGTCTTTGGGGGCTCCTTGACCCATTTCTGTGTCTCATTCTTCTGTCATCCTCTCTCCGTCTATCCATTTCTAGCCTCCGGTCACGTCGCTCATCTTCCTGTCTTCGATATCGTTCTTCTTCCCTCTTTTCCCTTTCCCGTCTTCGCTCCACCTCCCTCCGTCGATCTTCTTCCCTCCGTTCTTCTTCACGTCGCCTTTCTTCATCTCTTCTTCTGTCTTCATTCCTCTTATCTTCATCTCTTCGTCTGTCACTCTCGCGGTCCCGTCTCTCATCACGTGCGGAATGTTGGCGTGAGGGTGAGGTAGAACGTTTAGATCTCCGATCCCTATCTCGGGAACCGTCTCTTCTTCTGCAACAACACAAAGCTTATTGTGACAACTGAAAGACAGTTAGTAACAGTCCTAATTTAAAAACTCAATTTTGTTCAATGTCAGGGCTCCAGATAACTTTTGGGTGTGTGGGTGTACTTACACATCATATTGCAAGTGGAGGTGTACTGAGAATTTTGAAGGAGTACTGACATGTTTTTGTGTGAGCGAGTTGGTGATGTGGTTTGTCTGGACGATTTATCGATCACTATTTCCAACCATGATAACTGAGCGACCGTGTGATGCGCGAAATGTCAGGTCCGACTGGGAACAGTGTGGTTTTTAGCCAATCAAAAAATAGTGACGCATATTGTTGCATGGCAACGCAAGGGATTCCCACTGCCGGGGTTTCCTCATGTGTGAAATCGCGTTTCGCAAAAGAAACTCTTGACAACGGGTATTTATCCAAAATAGATTTCCATTTGCACAATACGCACGGAAATTAAATGTTAGACGTACAAAGGTATTTATGTGCGTACATGATACGCTTGAAATCTTATATTATGTCGTACTTCATTCATTTTGAGGTGTACTTTACGTTTGTACACCCCTTATCTGTAACCCTGAATGTAATAGACATACTTGCTATAAACATGTCTCGAATATATTTCTCACTCTTGAAACAATCAACAAAGACATTAACTCGCACCTGTGAGGGGAACTTCTTCTCTTGTTTGAGATCACATCAACTGAGTCGAGCAACGTATCAGCAAATTCTGTTAGACTGGGTGACCTTGACCCTCGCTCCTTGACCCCATTCTTCTGCTCACGACCATGACCCCGTTCTCCACGATGTCTTTGTGATTCTCTAGCTTCTCGAATCAAATCCAGTATATCATCCTTTCCTTCTGGTTTGCTAGAAGACCTTTCTTTCGTTGCCCGTTTTTCTGTTGACCCTGACTCCTCTGTATAACTCAAGTCTTTTATTTCCCCTTCCTCTTCAGAGTCAGTTCCATATCCCTGAGCAATCAGGCCTATGGCATTACTAGTGTCACCATTCAGTTCAGCCCTTAATGCTGCCCGTGCTGCTTCCAGTCTTTCCAGATCACTCTCCTCAAGCTTTCCCGGCTTCTTCTTCTCTTTCTCATCTCCGTCTCCTTTATCATGTTTGTGACGCTTCCGCTTGTGTTTGTGTTTATGTTTGTCACTGGTGGAATGTTTCTTCTTATGTTTCTTGTGTTTATGCTTCTTTTTCTTTTCTTTCAATATTCCTTCATCACTACTGCCTGAATCATCACTGGAATGAGAAACATTGGAATTTGGGAACAAAATATGTATGACGACCTGTGAGACAAGGCAAGGGTTTAGTCTATGGAAAAAAAATCATAAGTTATAACAGACACAGAACTGCATTAAAACTGCATTCAACTGGAGACAATCGAACCTGGCAACTTGTTAAAAGCAAGCATGAAGGTCAGGGGGTTCATGTCAAAGACCAAATTTCTCCATTCTACTGGTGTTTTGACACAATGTCAATTTACATCCAAAATTCATGGCATTGACATGTAAACCATGTTAAAGAAATGCCTCAACTGATCTTAACATTGATGAGATGAAAATCATATTTGGATTCTCTGAAAAAAGGAACGATGTCCTTAATCTCCTGATAACAGTTGTCAAATCTACTCTTTTTAAAATACGAACATATACTTGTACACCAAGTTTCGATATGATCAGAAAGGAAATCAGTAAAATTTACAATATCGAGAGAACACATGACATCTCTTCTTGTAATTTTACCAAATTTGTTGGATTCTGGTCTGATTGCCATCAGTTGTTTGATTGATATTAACGTACAACCGACCCTTTTTCCTACAATGTCATTTGTTATGCTTGTCAGTGTGAGATACCGCCAAACTCTGCATACAAACGCATGGTTTATATTTGGTTGTGATTTGATGTCATGATTTTGTACCTAAAAATAGCTGAATAAAACAAAAAGCAACTGATCTGAAGTATTCCTTGATATTCCACAAAAAGTAGCAATTTCATATTACAAAATACCAGACAGGGTTCATGTCTAAATAGCAATAATATTTCAAGATCTTACAAATGACTCGAAACTAGACAAGAAAAATGTGAAAAGCTCACTCAGATGCGCAATCTACTATTAAATATTTATCTTTGATGTATCGAAATGTGGCGACCAGGTCTCTCTCAACTCCGTTTAACAGCAGATATCACACATTTCACACAATTCAACGGGTCAACAGTATGTAACACTATCGCGACAGATCTCATTTAGATGCTAGCCCAAGCTAGAGTTTGGACGTATTGTCTTCTTTGATATAACGAAATTAGGTGACCTTGCCACTCTTATCGCCGTTAGGCGGAAACTATTAAACACTTCATCTAGTCCTTCGTGACAATAGTAAGTACTACCATCGCATATGTTTAATGTCCAGTTTTTGAGAGTATTCATGTCCGCGTGATAACTTGTCACAGAGTAGTAGGTTACCTTATTTCAATCGGGTCATCAACATCGGCCATGTTAGACGATCGTCAGCGCGATGTCGACTATATACTACTGTCCCTATGACGAATTGTACTGGTTTTAACACGTCTTTACCTTTTTTTCTGCTTGCGAGTTGCATACGTGTAAGACAGAACAAGTGTGGTACGTGTTATAAAAACAATATGATATTGCATTGAAATATATATACTACTATCCACTCTTCGTTACACATTAAAAATATAACAGTTGAAAAAGCGGATATATTACAGGTGGAAATGGATTCGATTTCACTGGGCGCAGGCGTTCGTTTCATGTTAATTTTCTCAACACATGCTGATGACAAACAATGTGAAGCCCAAAAGTCCAAGGTGGCACAGTAGGTGGTGCGTTCCTCGTTTTTGCCAATAATCTGAAGATAATGTGTTCGAATCCCATAGTTAGTAATTCAGTATCCTTCCGTGCTCTCAGATTTATATAAAAGTTCTGTTTACATAAACCCCGACTTTCCTCCCACGATATTTCGATTCTCGGGGAGATCATAGCACTGTTCAAAGCGGCGTAAAACTCGCACGAACAAGAAGGCTTTTGAAAACCCGAATTGTAGTTTGACAGCGTTAAAGAGCTACTTTCAATCTCAAAGCAATAACACAACTTCCATATGGTCTGTCTTTCAGTCCCTTAACTGCATTATTTCCCCTTTCTGGTTGTTCTTATGGAAAGAATAACGGGAGGATGTGTCAAGCAAGCTTTATTTTAAACACGGACTATATATGTGAATTTGTATTTGGATTCGATATGACTTTGAGAAAATATCGAATCGGTTTATTTAGGAACCGTCTCTGTTGGGGTAAATGTTATAGGTGTGTTCAACTTGTTCCCAATATAACTCCAAATTTCTAATTAAGTTTATACAACACTATACCTCGTTATATATACTATAAAACAGTGGCTGGAATTTTGAGTTTGAGGCATTTCAAGATGACGGGGTGAAGCACAGAAATAGAATTCGTTGTGAATGCTAGTAGAAGAATACAAAGACGCTTTGAGTAACGTTTTGCGGTATTACGAAAACTATGCTTTCACTTTATGCAGTTCATTGTATGATATATTCGTATATAAATGTACATGGTCCAAGCTTGATATGGTACAAGATGAACTGTCATTTGACAACTGCTGCAATATTTCAACTGCAATAAGTTTTTAAGATAGTATCAGAAAATATCGGAATATTCCGGAATGCTTCGTATGACCCAAATATAGATACTTCCGGTGACGTCACTATCAGCAACCTCGAAGTGAGTAACAAGTCACAAGTAAGACTGTCAGCACTGTCTCACGAGACGAAAACAAGTCCAGTTTTCTGATCTTTTTAGTCGTCAACAGATATCAAGATGAAATTCAAGTTTAAGGAAGAACACACATTCGGTAAGAATCGATATGATTGAAAAGACAGTCGAGAAGACGTGTATTACTGTTTGTATCAATTGGTTTGTTTTTGTTTCGTCAAATGTAAACAATCCCACATGCAAACCAGATTATCACCAGCGTTTGTAAATATGACAATACTGATAAACTATCAGATACAAAGGTTGTCACGTTGTATTGAATTTGTCGTACTACGTTGATTAAATAGCAGTTAGGCTAAAATTAGAGGAAGACATACACAATGAAACCTGATAAGTGATAGGGCACAGATATTATGTCTATTGTCTCTCCCAAATGTTGATCGTAATGTCAGCGAGTAAGCTCAACGAAAAATCCGAATTACAGAAGACGAATACAACATTAAACATGCTTTGTGTTGATATATTATTCTGGACAATCACCACAAGAGTAAATCGATGAAACAAAAATGTCAGTGTTCAATGTTATGCATGAATGTTTTTGCCTGATGTCAGCTGTAAGACAAGAGACCTTTTTAGATGTTCCAGATTAACACCATCTCCACATCTATTAACATAATGGTCTACATGATAAAGGCATTAGCTTTGTAAGTTTCTTTGAATATCTCATGTCGTGACCAATGTGTTGACTAGTGACTTTTGTGGTTCCCTATCTGTACAGGGCCATAAGAGGGGTTACAACTGATTGCTACTCACTCATTCTCAATAAACCGTTGCATTGATGTCTCTGGTTATTTATCCTAAAACAACAGTGTCCTTGATTAATCTAATGATTGGATTAAATGTAGTGGTATTTGGGTGTACTATAGCAGGCATCCATTCAGTTTATTTATGTAAACTTCAAAAGCGCAAGGGAAGGATATTACTGATTTTGCAATGTACGTTACTGTCTCCAGGCTGAACTGACAAAAGTCATTGGCTTTGTTTTAATGAATTATGCAATAAATATCATAACTAAAGTACTATTATGATAAACGAGATATGTGACAATAGATTTCTATTCAGCTCCAATTATGTGATCGTTTTGCGGATTTTGCAGAGTATGTTATAACTGTGTCTCCAGTTTTGATGCAGCACACGACTAACTTAATAAATACAATGACGCAAACAATATTTACGGAGTAAAAAATATTTTTTGGGTTTATTTTAAGTGATAATAATGTTCTTTACAAGAAAACAATATTTGGTTCTTACATAAGAATCGTTTAATGTTTCTACACTCATTTTATGTGTCATTATTCAATGGTTATGGTTAAGGATGTAACGTACGTGACCACCAAATGTTCCTCAACTTGAGATTAAATAAATATAGGTCATTATTAGAATAATGCATGAAGTTGTTTTTATACAATATGTCATAAAATGTGTCAAGTTCGACAAAAAATGGGATCAATAAGGACAAACTTGTACATGAGAGAAATGTACGTTACCGTAATGTACGTTACCATCAGATATCAAACTGCCAACAACGGGGCGCTGAACGTGAAACAGCTTGGTTTGAAACACGTGGAGTGGCGTAAGCATATTATGTCACGCCATTAGAACGTCGACAGCCGACCATATCTTACGACTTAAAAGATTATCAACAAATTTTGGTAAGTGCTTTGGGTGTCTTTTGTCAGGATAATATGAGGGTGATTAAATATCTGGAAAGTTACTTTATCTACACATTGTTTCCTCATCTGTAGCCCGTACTTTCTGAAAAAATGTCAATTTGGTGAATCTTATGCAAAATACGTCGTATTGGTGTTACTGAATAAGTGTAATGTACGTTACAATTGGTAACGTACATTTCACCAAATTGTCAAATGAAATTTCAGTGATACTTGTATGATATCTTGCGAAGTAAATGTTGTCTTTTGAAGGACATGTTGACAACTCTATTCATTCATACTTATACCATTCTTGTTTGCATTAAGATCCATGGAAACCTCCATAATATATAATTACCACTGTTAGTCCTTGTTTATAGTATCATGACACATTTCCTGACAGTGTGCTGAACTAACATATTGTCAAGCTGATGTTATTATATCAGTGTGCACATAGATTTACTCTGTCTACTACTTAAGCTATTTAACCTGTATTTATGTTAATCTGTTACTAAGAAACACATTGAAAACATCTGGTAACGTACATTTCTTCGAGAAGAAGAAATATATGTTTCAGTGGCCCAAACGCGAAGATGTAATCTGGGTGTCGCGATCAGATATTTTGCGTAAAGTAGATGATCTAGTTCCTACTGGCAGGTCTCAGAGAATGCTGAGCGAGTGAGTGAGTTAAGATTTAAAGTCACATCGGCAATATTTCAGCCATACCCTGACTACCAACAAGCAATAATTTTAGACTAAATAAAGGTAAATCAGCGAAGGACAGTAATCCAACTAGAATATCACAGATATAAGTATATAACTAGTATGTAATTCTAAAACAGCTGAATTACAGAAGACAATACAATACGGGCACGGGCTATACATCGCCAACAACTGAAGGTAGACCACAATACTAGGAAACATGGGGACTTACAGTGCTTTTGCTACCTGATAGACCCTAGCTAGATTTACACCATCCCTTCAGCCGCTGATGACTGTAAGAAAATTCAGCCATAATTTAAAATAACAAAAATACCATATTTAAAAAGGTGGAAAGTTGAAATTGACTTTGAAGGTTTTGGGACTTCTGTATCCTCTCAAGAGGACAATGATGTTACGATACTTTAAACCCCTTTGAGGATACAGCCACTAATAATCGTAGTTCACTGTTGCTAATTTAAAATACCCTTTATAAAATATCATTTATGTATTCACAAAACATATGGTTCAGAATTTATCTAGTAATTCTATTTCCTTTACAAAAACAATTATTAAATGATAATTATTATTATAAAAAGATCCTTGATTGTTTTGACATTGAAATATTTGTCCCTTGTGATGAAAAATAAATAGTCAAGCAGGACATGCTTGACCGTGATTCTCTCATCACAAGGGATACAAAACGCAGGATCATCACCTTTTAACAGGTATTCATGCGTATATTTTGTATGGCCAATGCGACATCGTCGTATGATGACTTCTTCAAATCTGGACTGACAACCCAAGTAGGTGAAACCAGTATAGGGTTTTATGGCATGTAATGTATTGATACCTATTTGAGTGTCCCACTTCTTCTGCATCAGATCACGGATGTACGATCTAATGACAGCTTTGTATGGAATGAGAAGTGGTGTCACAAAATCAGCTATTGTGTTACAGAGAATGTTGAAGTTGGATGAAAACGAAATATAGTTGGTTGTGCAGGCATTTCAATCCTGGGTAGAATCACAGTAATGTACGTTACTTGAAACTTGAAAGTGTTGGTCACATATTGTGGAACAATTATTTGTTCAAGTTAATTTGCATAATTGCAGTTTGAGTTCTTTGCTACATAAGAGTAATTGCGTCAAGCAAAATCAAAACATTTTGATATATGTCTTGAATACATCGACTTATTGTTTCAACTGAAATGTACGTTACCTGTTTATGATATTAAATTGTCAGTCTAATCTTTTGGATTTCATGTCAATTACCTTTAACATACTATGGAAACACATCTACTGTACTTTTGAGGTGTCAGGAGTATATTTTATATGTGCCAGTCAGATTTGACATTATACTCAATTCATTGTAATGTACGTTACAGTTTACATCATTCTGAGTTGGGTGGATAAGCTGTGAACACAATAGTTTAAACGTTTTTTCTAGTCATTCATTTTCTTAGCTATGTGTTGGGTTGCATTTCTGTGGACATGTTCTTGCTTTCTAATGATTATTTTGCAAGCAGACAATGCTAATATAAGATGCCTTCAACAAGATGAACTAGAAAACTGCAACATGATGTGTTGGTATGTTCATTACACCCCAGATGTAAGTGACACGTCACATTTATTGGGGTATGTGAATCAGTTTTGATACGTTTAGGTCTAACTGTCATGTCTCATACATTTATTTGTATACTGATACTAATGAGTTAACCAGAACTTTCTTCAAAGACTGATAGGCTGATGGTAACGTACATTACATGTTCCAAATTTGCTGATTAGTACTGGTAAAGTTGGATAGAGGTTTCAGAATAAAGGAATTGACTTTATATGCTAATTTTTTCTGTTCTGTATACTTGAAAACCTTTATAACAAAGACAATGTCTTTTAATTCCAACTGCGTGACATTTATATTTTTCAATTTACGTGTGGTAAATGCAACGGTTTATTGAGAATGGGTGTACTATGAGAATGTAGAATGTGCCAGATACCTTGTGTGTAAAAGCTTGATAAATATGTATGGATATCTTAATTAAGTGTTAACCCGTGCGTTTACCTACTGGGGTTTTGGAACCAGTTTGTTACAAAAGGTTAAGTTGTTTATGTGTAAAGCTACATAAAATAATGTTGATAAAACAGGCAAAGAACAAAATATTCTGTGGTAATTATTCCAAAGTTGACAACTATATTTCCTTTTTGCAGAACAAAGAAAAGCTGAGTCAACAAAGATCAAAACAAAATATCCTGAAAGAATTCCGGTAAGACAACTTTTGTAAAATATGTCTTCTATCTCCACTGTGCTAATTGTAAACAACCTCTACTATTGTCTGCACAATTATTTCTACAGTGACAGCCTTCATATATTAAACATGACTAAAGCATCTTATTTGTCATGTTTAATATATTTGGAAGAAATATTGTAATGGTGATTTTGTATCAAGATGTAATGTAACTCATATGAACAGTCATCCTACTCCTAGTTGACTCTGTTGGATCACAACTCCTTACAATAAAAACAATCATGCTGATGTTGCTTGTCATACTCCTGAGCATGTTTTCTTTGATGACGATTACAGGTAACTTTGTACTTGAAGAACATGAAGAACTTTAGTATCAGTTCTTGAGTTTGATACTTTTACTGTGTCCTTACATGAAGGTCAACCCTCAGCCATTATTCTGCCAAGGTCATTGAATGTCAGTGGTATGCGAACTAGTAACACAGAAAACAGTTCATAGGCATTTTTCCTTTTTAGTATAGTGAAGGGGCAAGAAGATTCCATGAAACCTCATTAGGAATAATAAAGATTTTGTATTTTAATATAAAACATAATTCCTTGTCGTCACTGTGTATTCACTCGCCCAACTTAAAATTGCCAATTTATTACTAATACGTGCTTGTTTGAAAATTGAAACCATTTCTTGGGTTCCGTGTTATTTGACAGTGACAGATGCTCGTGTGTGATGAGGTGATTACATTTGTTACATCATGTCCAGTGGTTCAGTGATCATGGTGTTAGTATCTGGGGTTAGTCATGGATCAGTGGCTGGTCAGTGAGTTCAGTGATGCATAATGGCTGCTGCTTAAACATAGCTGGAGGCCATCTTGTGTGAGTTTCTAAATACTAAGTAAGTCATGTCAACATCAGCTTTAATATGTTTAACGCTGGTTGTCAGTCATCAAATTGAATAGCTAATTGGTCTCTTGTGTCAGTGTTTTGTTCATGTGTGAAATGCATTGAAAACAATATTAGTTGTGTAGTATTAGGTATCTTATGTAATAGAAATAACCTGGAGATCTTTATCCATGTAGACATGTTCCGTGTCAGGATCTTGTCTGTGATACCAGCCGTTATCACCAACTGCCGATAATGAGTCTGATTGTCACTTGCCAGTGTCAAGAAAACTGTTTAGGAAATACTGGTACATCCAGTCTTGCTTTAAAGTTCAACTATCACTTATTCATTATATTGAGATGTTATTGTGTCTACTGGTATAATTTGTAATTACTGTTTGACTTACACTGTCCTGTCTTATAGTGTTCTAACAGCACCATGCAGGACATTCCATCACTGATATGAAACTCTGAAATCAAGAATCATGGCTTCAGATTCTACAAACACATTTTTTGTTGCATGCAATTTGTTTGTTTTTTCAATAGTCTGAAGCAAAAATATTTTTTTTATCCGTCACAGGGTCCCCCTCTGCACCTTTGACCAGAATATTGTCAACGCCTTCATGTGTTGCCTATTCCATGATTTTACGAATGTCACAGTGTTGCCCCTTACCTAGTTTTACCAACAGTGATAGTGTGTAGCCCCAGCCCCGATTTTACTGGTTGTGTCGCAATGTGGAGCTTTCCGACATTTTACTGACAGTGTCACAAAGTTATCCCACCCCTGATTGTACTGACAGTATCACAAAGTTACCCCACCCCTGATTGTACTGACAGTATCACAAAGTTACCCCACCCCTGATTGTACTGACAGTATCACAAAGTTACCCCACCCCTGATTGTACTGTCAGAAAGTTAAGCCACCCCTGATTGTACTGACAGTATCACAAAGTTACCCCACCCCTGATTGTACTGACAGTATCACAAAGTTACCCCACCCCTGATTGTACTGTCAGAAAGTTAAGCCACCCCTGATTGTACTGACAGTATCACAAAGTTACCCCACCCCTGATTGTACTGACAGTATCACAAAGTTACTCCACCCCTGATTGTACTGACAGTATCACAAAGTTACCCCACCCCTGATTGTACTGACAGTATCACAAAGTTACCCCACCCCTGATTGTACTGACAGTATCACAAAGTTACCCCACCCCTGATTGTACTGACAGTATCACAAAGTTAAGCCACCCCTGATTGTACTGACAGTGTCACTGTGTTACCCTTCCCCTGATTGTACTGACAGTATCACAAAGTTAAGCCACCCCTGATTGTACCAACAGTGTCATTGTGTTACCAAATAACCCCCCCACTTTTGTTGCAGGTGATAGTGGAGAGGGACCCCAAGAGCCAAATACAGAACATCGACAAGAGAAAGTTCCTTGTTCCCAATGACATCTCAGTGGCTCAGTTCATGTGGATTATACGCAAACGTATTCAACTTCCATCGGAAAAAGCCATCTTTCTTTTCGTAGGGAAAATACTGCCTCAGTCAAGGTAAGTAGGTTTGTTGCTTTGGTAATTGGAATCTGGTTCTCTTGTTTGGATGTAGGAATTCACAGACAGGATACATTTCATGTATCACATTCCTTATCAGTTAGGATAATGGAGCAGGATAGTTCTCCAGTATCTCATTGTTGTCAAAAGTACAAGCTCAATGAGAATTGTGTGGCCACAATGGGTGACCTAGTTGACTTATATCATACAATGTCATTGATGCTACAGTCATCAGTATTTCACCTATATGATGGTGGGAATACCCATCATCATCATTTACATGTTGCTGTGATATTAATGGGACATTATAAGTATAAGTTGTTCACTGGTCAAGAGGGGGACATGGGTTGATGTACCCTCTTTTTTTGTTTATGTTCCCTGATCCCTTGGGGCTCATAAACAAACATAGAGAGTACATCAACCCATGGGCGTCGAGGGGCCAGTGAACAACATATTTATCTTACTGAACACCTCAGTGTTAACTGTTTGAAGCACAGGTGTTGGATCATATTATTCATAATAAGGAGTACTGGAGTTAGGCAACAGCCCAAACACTACTATTAGCTCTAACGCAAACTACCAAACAAATTCCCACACTTTGGCATTTATGTGTGAGGTAAGACATTTATGTGTGAGGTAAGATAAAGAAGCTTGTTGTTGCTGTAAAGTGTCTTCCAAAATGTTGAAAATGTGGTGGTCGATTTGCAGCTCAGCTGTTGAAGGGATATTTGGTATAAGTCCTAGTTTCCCTGAAGCACTAAGCATGTTGAGAGAGTACCTACAAGGCATAAGGTATTACAGATTGTCCTAAGTGAACTTCAGATGTTCTGAGGCTTGGCAAGTTGCTAGTGGGTTACATTATTTATTACCCATTGGCTGTTTTCCTAAAACATGTAGCAAGATGTGGGTTTGCTGATCTCACATTGAAACAACGGCTCTATTGGCCTGTTGTTGGAACAACGTCACATTTAATGACTTATGTTTATAACATCATGAACAGTTGACAACTCTGTCTTCAGTTATTTCAGACAATAGGTTAATATGACATCTCATTGCCATGACCATTGTAAAAAAATGAAACAATGGGAACAATCAATAACATGTAGGTCAGTCAGACTTACTGAAAGTAATGTCATCCATATCTGTTTCTCTACAGATAATTATAAACCCTACTGGTGTTGATTATATATAGGTACTGTAAACAGTATGGAGTATTTCAGTGTACTGGCGAAACCTGAGAAGTATATTTGTGTGTGACCTGTGTGGTCGGTGACCTGCTGAGGTATTGTGTATCATCAGTTATTGATTGACAGGATCGGAGTGATTCACCAACACTTCTGTCTCCAGTGTCTGTGAAAGTGCTGTAAGGACTTCATCATGTATATGGCAAATCTATACCCTGGATCAATATTTCCACATTTCTACATCCCCTAGCAGTCAAGCAATATGAGCAAAATCTAATAGCCTCAACTGAGACAGTAATATCCAAAATATCACAATCTACATGGAGGAAGTCTATCATGCTTTGGGAAGTCTAGATTTTCTGTTACAAAGAAATATCAAAACATAAAAATGTTAGTGTACCATTTTTATGTGTTAAGATTGTTTGTGTTTTGTTGAGTGTAATTTAACAGAATCGTCACAAGAATATCTTCGTTGTTAGACTCAGGATTTTTCCAGAGTATGATACAATATGTTGTAAATGTGCAGAAGGAAATAGTGATACCACACTCACTCACTCACTCACTCACTCACTCACTCGACCAGTGAGGTCTGTTGTCCTAACAACGCTAGTTTGTTTCACAGTCCCAATTTTCCCTAAAGCCTAGCCTTGCCTGCAATGCTAAAGCCCTAAATTAAGCAAGTCTAGAATCGCTGTAGCTCCTTTTCAATTAACATGGATTTATTTGTTACAATCAAAATTACATATATTCAGAGACTAAGTGTTAGCACTTGGCAACACCCAAACACACAGATATTGATAATTCATGCCCTCCCTGGACTTTGTTTCAGTGCAAGCATGGGCCAGGTTTATGAAGATCATAAGGACGAAGATGGATTTTTGTACATAGCTTACAGTGGAGAAAACACCTTTGGCTTGTAGCCGTGTCAGCAACCGGACCGATATGTTTCATTGTTTGCCTTCATGCTTGAAGATTTGAGACAGGAAGCCAAGCCGATGCTGATATCATGTGCAATGCATTCATGATGGCAGAAAAAAAATGTGATATCTTTGTTGAAAGTTAACATGGTTAAAGTATTTGTCTTATTGTACTGTAGTAGTGTTGATCAGTGATTCAATGTATGTGTTTGCATTCCGCCTCTATTTGTAACCATGGATACCAAGCACAAGGAATCCAACATTCCCTGTTCAACAACAGACTCAACAATGGCCTCAAATTCTGTTTTATCATATGTGGTCAGTTTTCATTTTTTATGGTTCTACATAGCATGGTTCAAATGTTTGAAGCTCTTGTCTCTAATAAGACTGGTTTTGCATCCTGAATTTTGTAAAAGGGAGGGAATCAAAACCTGGCCTATATTTTATCATGAGTTCGGTATCTGAATGGGTTACTTTTTGATGAAAAGAGTCCATTCATTTAGCTCAAGACCAAGCATCCCAATTTCCAGTACTTACTGAAACTAGTATTATCATGTGAGAGTTATAGTATTAAAGGATTGTTTTAATATGTTGTTTTATGGAACTGTATATATCTTTGTACAGGAAGTAGACGATTTTCTTCCGTTTGTAAACATATCTATTCCACATACATTTCAAGTATTGATATAATTAACCAGTATCATCAATGTATAAGCCGTGTTATAGCAACTATAACAATTATTATCATGCACTTTATATGCTTGAATACATGAATACAATATTCAGGGCTCAATGCTTGCATACAGTGTTATTAAGCTCAACCACAGTAGAGGTATTAGCTTTGATAGGTGATTTAGTGACATATAGCATGGGATTTGAACTTGCTCATTTTGAAAGGGAGTTAACTGTAATTGTCTTCCTGTAGCGTGGGAAATTTGTTTCAAACTTTGGAAATTGTTTTTCTGGTGTTGTTTCAGTTTATGCTATGTAAGTATTAGATTTGAATTTGAAAATAAAAGTTGTTCATGGTTTGAGATCAAGTTAGATATTCCATAGTTGATCTTGCACAAAAAATAATTTCGATTCATTCCAGTCAGTTTGGAGAATCATCTGACACCTTCCACTGTGATGGCTTGGTGTTTAGGATATTGTGGAGCACCTCCTATAGTCACATGAACTGGACACAAGCTTTCTGTGCCAGTATGGATGTAGGCAATTTTGCACATTAGAAATTAACTTCAAGAATTGTTCATTTGATAAATTGTCGGAATGATTTAATAAAAAGTAGCCCTGATACTAGGAAATCTTGACTTACCAAACAATAGAGATTTGCATAGGGTTTTTATGCTTTTTATGCAGTATTGTGTCAAAGTTGTTATGAGAGATTGCTGTGGATACAGGTGTTTCTCAAGACTTCTTGGACCCAAGTTGACATGAAATCCCAAACTGGAGTGAGAATTTTCCCAGTTAACATTATTATAATTATATCTGATAATTGGTTTGGTCAAACTGATTTCTAATAGATGAAGGAACTATCATGCTTAGTTTTTCATTACTGAATCTGATGATATTATAAATGTTAAAAGATCTATGATTTGAAGTTAAAAGGAACTAACAAATACTTTTCCCAATTTTCTGTCAAGAGCTTGTAGGGGGCCGTTCATAATTTATGTACATAAAAATATTTAAACAATACACTTTAAAAATATGGAAAGGGGGAGGGGGGTCATTGACTTTGTACATGACATGCAGGGGGGTCACTTACTTTGTACATACATTTTGGGGGGGTCACTTACTTTGTACATACATTTTGGGGGGGTCATTCACATACACGCACACACACACACACACACGCCATAAATTATGAACGGTCCCTAGTTTGGATGCTTAGACAAATCAGGGACCTTAATGTGTTATTCCTTGAACGTTAATGTGTTACTCCTTGGACATGCATCTTCACTCTATGTTTGCTACAGTGTCAGAGTTTGCTTGTCTAGTCAGAAGAGCTTTGTCAGTGGAACAACATACAGCTTCCAGGAACATTTTGGGATGCAAGATTAGCTGATCTTGCTAACTTCAAAGAGATGGTGACATTAGTTTCTGTCTCCCTGTAGTTGGTAGTCCCAGCACCATGTGACCTTTGTTAGGTTTATCTTTAAGACAGGGCTTTTACTCGGACACTGGTAATGGTTAGTGTGTTCTGCCAACATTGTGTGTTTGATCATCCAGGTTAGCAAGTCTGTTTAGGGGAACAGGTCTGAACATGTCTAATGAACAGGTGGTGTTTGGTGATGTTGTGAACAACCTCTGCCCACTTCCTGTGTATGTTTTACTGTGTAGTTGTGGTGTTATTACAGTTTTTGCTGGTAATCTTCACTAGTCCATATTTGATTCAGGAGGCTTTGCTTGCCCATATACTGGAGACAGTGGCTGTCATCAGTGCTCATCACTACCCTCAGGGTGTTGCCCAGCCAACAGTGGTACAACATCATATAAGGGATGTCATGTATATTTCTCTGTCTCAACTAAACCCATCTCTGCAATCCAGTGTATGCCAGTTTGGACTTATCAGACAAAAGCCACAATCATAATATAATAAAACTGTTTTTCTTTCTTTTTTTTAGTATAATAAACTGTTAAATTATTTATTTATTTGCCTGACGTCTCCATCTTTAGTGTATTAGAAATAGACTTCCATGAAGGAAACTCAAACAAAAGTGACTTACTTAACCCTAGAGATACTATCTGGTCAAAGGCATTGTACGCAATCTCTTGCCACTGCAAATATCCTGTCAACAAAATAAAATCTTGAAAAATATAACGATTGAATATAAATACGAAACATCAGCATCCTTGACGGCATTGGCACCCATGTAGTACTGGTGTGATTGACCCAAACAATTTTGCAACAAATAACATATATAAATATTGTGCATAAAAAAGTATATTTTCATGTTGTACTTGGAACTATACAACCTAATTAGCATGCAGCAATTGACACCCGAAAACTCTGTTGCCAAGATACCTGTTCAAATCGTATACCAGGTAACATCATTGTGTGAACCAGTTATATAATAAATATACAAATACCCATCAGGTTAAGATAAACCAGTTTCGACCTGGGCCCACCGGTATATTGGCATCTTTGAGTTGCCCCTTCCCACAAGCTGCAGCGTTAAACAGCTCCTCAAGGAGCCAAGATTTGCTTGTGCAAGTTGACTGTTCAGTTGTGGTTCTTCCTCTATGGCCGTCAGACAACAAGGTCCCTGTTGTGGTATACATGTATCCAAGGCCCACTGTGTTTGAATTCTGTATGCATATTTGAACAGCGCCTGTGGTATGTATGTAACACTGATTGTTCAAAAGTAACCCCGGAGGTTGTGATGTAAGGTTCCCGTGCACGTCATCTTACTAAAGTTGCCAAAAATGTCCTACCACCTTTGGTTGATAGAGCCATTTTTACCTCACAATCTGCTTGACGCCATTTCCTGGCAGGCTTGGAAGAATTTCAAAACCAAAGTGACCATGTTTTAGTCTTTCACCTGTGTCCATCCCTGGACTGTTGTTTGAAGGTTGGTGTAAGAGTGGGGGCGCTTGTCAGGTCACCTGCCTTGTGTCAGAAGTACTCATGCTTGTGAATAAAATATCTTCTAACTTACTACTATATTGTATTGTCTGTTTGTTGAGTCAGTGTAACCTTGGTAACGTGTGGATAAAGTTCGAATACAGTATCTGCGTTGAGCGGATGACATTTGGGATCAAGGCGACAAAATGATTTCCATGATAATGAGAAAGCTCATTGTGACTGTTCTAAACATGTCATAGGCATGTGCTTGAGAATCACTATCACATAGTGATGATACCAGGTGTTTGGGTGTCACAAACACATGCAAGAGCAAGTGAATTGTTCATCTCATTAACACAGGAAAATCTATTGTGAGATAGCATTTGCGTCAATTGTAGTTCTAAACACGTAAGTTTGGCAATAGTAATGCGATTGCATAATGGGTATCTTAACATTCCTACGAACCCGTACAGTCCAACAACGGTCTCACCTCTCAGTTTCTCAGATTAGAGGAAGTCATCGAGACACATTAAGAGGATTGCGGATATAAAGTAACCAGTGACGTAAACAAGTCACGATAACGTCACTTGCCGCATAGTTTTTCCAAGTTTTAAAACCACCAGTTAGCCAAAGCCCGTGGGCCTGAAACAACACGCTAATGTGAGACAGCCCAGAGTCTCGATTACTGCCCGTAAGGGAGTTACCTCGATTATTATTTGCTGTAATGTTAACATGTTCAGAATAGACCACGTCCCGTATCTTCAAACAAGGTGTATTTGGATTAAATCAGGGTTAAACTAAACTCATCCACTCGCTTCCTGGTGGTGGATAAAATTAAGACTCATCTTCTCTCAGTACCAAACCCCCATGACATCCTGGCTTCATGTGATACTCCAACACACAGACAAGGCTTCCTTGCTATGAACAAAGCGTCTGTCTGCTTGTTCGATTCTTGAGACTGGCAATCGTTTATCTCTGACGTTTATTGGCAATACAGTCTAACCCCGTTGTTTCGAAGTTCTGGTCGCGAAGTAAAAGCTCTGCGTTGTCCTATTTAATCATATTTCTTCGGTTGTATTGAACATCGCATAACTCGAAGTATTCACGTAGGTCCCTGCAACTTCGACACTGCAAATCAAGTATCAGGTTTAGGAACGTGCTTTCTTGTGATGAGGAACTGCGGCGTCGTCACCAGTTATCTGAACACGTGATTTGAAATCATGAAACATTGTGTGTTAGCTATATTCTTGATATCAGTCGGTGCAGATGAAATATTTCCTCTAGTACAGGTTGTGGGTTACATTGTATGCTTATAGAGGCAATAAAGTGAAAACCCTTGATCACATAACTGTTTCCTTGTGATCAACGCGATGGCCTTGTTGACACATGTCATCGTATCCCAAATTCGTAGATTGATGCTCATACTGTTGATCACTGGATTGTCTGGTCCAGACTCGATTATTTACAGACTGCCGCCACATAGCTGGAATATTTCTGAGCGCGGCGTTAAACAACAAACCAACCAACCTACATGTGATCAGCAGTTGTCAACATATCACTTCTATATTTGTTTCTGCATTCGTTTTCGGGGCTCTGTAGACCATATTTGGAAGATGATATCATCATCAACCTGAACGAATCTGAGTTTGAATTTCTTCACTTACATGAATATGTAAAACCGCGATGTGAAAAATGTACTAGGAATGAATAGTAGGATGTTATCATATTATCATTTTACACCGGTTTCATGTCAACCAAACAATTACAGTTTTTCCGACAAACGTGTATGAATGTTGTTGATGATAGTGAACAGACTCGTATGATTAGCTTGTATATGACACCCAAATACCCACACCCATCCACCCCGAGAGATTCCGGAGAACGAAAAGTACCTAATGTTTGCAAAACGGCCTTAATTACGATGGGCGATGCCGGTTTGTTACCAAAGTTACAGTGGGTGCATGTCTGTAAGATGCATTCTTGCATTCAACAACAAGGTTGCTCGATCCACAATCGGTTCCTTAGATGCCCCAGGGTTGCTTCCCTTAGGAGAGTCAGGTTCCTATTATCAAGGGTTCAGGTATTTGATCTGAGGAAGTATTTCGTAATCTCGTTTATGGGTGTCTTAATATACTTATATACAACCAATTTGTATGTATTCACTCATTACTTCGGGCCTTCTGCCCACTCTCAGTTGACAAGCCATGATGTAACTGGAATTTTGTTGAAAGAGGCAAACCACTAAACTCACTCACTACGCAGATATATCACCATTTTCCTTGCCTTTTAATTGTCTCCATCCCGAGCAGACGGAATATTCACCCTTTCTACGATTTTGCTCACCTTATTGATGATATTGCAGTACTGTTAAATGACGAGGAAACACTCATTCCGAGCGGAAACAACCTTAATTAACTTTACTATTATGTTATTGCATTTTATTTCTTGTACAGATATCGAAGATCACTTTCCAATCAGTGCAACAGACACGTTATTGCGCTGTACGATTTTAACATATCACCATATTTCTGGTCTACAAATTGTGTTAAGTCAAGGAACACTCTCCATCCCCAGCAGTTAAAACATTCACTCACCTTTCGATTCCGATATTTCACCTTATTCTGAGTCTTTTAATATTGCTAAGTAAAAAAACACTCGCCATTCTAACCCGCCAAAGGATCGTGCACCTTATACACCGTTATACTAGCCACGAGACTACCGAGCTAGACAGCGAGCTATGAGAACCGTTATCGCCGAGATGGAACCGTTTATCACAAATTCAAAACCTTCAAGGGCGTCACCGCTCTGCGGCCATAGGTTTAGGTGGCAGCTCTCCGATTCCACCACAGTGCTCGTCCCTCACATCCCCCGTCAGGCGGAGTACCTGCTACAGTAACAGTTGTCCTGGAGCCGTCAGGGGATAGCATGGTGCTCGCGAGGCCGGGGAGGCGTTGTTGATGGTGGCGGTGAGCGGATATATGTCTGTTTGAGCAAAAGAGGACAACACACTTTGGAAAAATGGTAAGTGTTCCTCAAGTGATTGTTATGTTATAAATCAGTGGTGTACTATAGTGACTGCGCCGTGTAGCTTGGGGATTCATGGTTCAAGAACAAGTGTAAACACTAACATGGAAACGTTATAGAGTTTCAGCGTTAAAGAAAGGGTCGTTTGGTGCTAGTTCCTGGGTTCCTGGTTTCCGTCGCTGGGTCTGTTGTTTGTGTTTATGGAGAATATTCATGGCATTTATTCATGAAAAAAGAATAGCCACTACTTCAGTTGAAAAGTGATTCGTGTCGGTTGTGTGTGGAAGCATATCTTTATGTGTGGCACTACAGGTTACATGCACAGCACGACTGATTACATTTATGTAACATCACACACGTGTTGTGTCAGTAGAGTTGATAATATTTTGAGAACTTCACATTTACTCCCTTGCTTATGTATACAATGACAGTGAGATATAGGTCAGTAAGTTTCCAACTCCTATGTCGTTATCGGGGTTTTAGTATGAGCCCCGATACAAACTTAAATTTAACGTAAAATACAAATAACTCTATAAAGGAACCTCTATACAAACGCTTAATTTCTGAATGAATACATATTTTTGATGTGACAAATAAACCCATTTAAACTGAATAGGACCCCTAATGAGGAGACCAAGAGTTGCTTTATTTACGGCTGTATCATTGCAGGGAGGGCAAGGAAGTAGGGAAATAATGTGCTTCAGGGCTTGAGACAGGCTAAGGAACCCTCATGTGAATTATGTCATAAATAAAAAGGGGTTGAGAATACTCTGATTGAGTTGAAAATATAATGCGTATGGCAGATGTTTTTCACATTTATGACGAAATTACGAATAGCTTCAATTGTTTTAAAGATACCTTTAAATATGTTCAGATTACTTGAGTTGTCTTTAGAGACAACGTGATTATGATTATATACACTGGGGTGATAATTGTGTTAATGATTTAAGTGCATTACAAGATGTCACGGTATACTTTTTGATATAACACTAACCTATTTAGATAGCAGTTATTTAATTTGAATGTAAGGCATTACCTTAAAATGACCTCTAACATCCAGACATCTTTAAATATATTTAGCTATATAAGTCCGATATATTTTTATCAATGAAGATATACGTAATGAAGTGATAAAAGTTGAAATGGCTTGCCAAAAACGAGAAAGGAATGGTTGTAAACGCTATAAAGTTCTATCTGTGTTGAGAAATTACAGTGTATGTTCTATAATTATAATAAACCGCAGCGAAATTTCTTGAAGATATGATATGCAGATTACACGAAGCATGTGTATCTCACGTCCTTGTGTACCCGGATGTTACTTGAGATTGTCTGTCAGTGTAACGACAGACGTAAAGGAGAGAATGTTGCGTGAGATAACGGGTGATAGCGGCAATGTGAGGACCCAGGCTGTCGTGTCAAACTGTGTCATACTGATCTAAAACACAGCGGTATACATCGTCCCGTGTTGCAGTACGTCATCGAACCTTTCTCTGGAAATACAGGCTGTACATACGTGTTCAATATACACCAGTAGCGTTATTTCCTTGTTGTGTACGTGAACATGTGTGTGATGTGTGATCTGTGATGTGTGATCCGTGATGTGTGGTGCCCCAGTAAAGGACCGCAGCCGGACTTCCTCATCTAACGCTGTCCTACCACACAGCAACACAACACTGACGTGCCAGCTCAAACACAAGTACGCCCACAACATATTTTCAAACAAGACGAGGGTATATTTTATGGCATATCCAAAATCTTAAGTGCACTTGAAAGTGATTAGGAGAAATGAAAGCCATCTTAACCCGGTCGTCTGTGTTTTTATATCTACTAGTATATCGAAGCATGACGTCACAAAGACTGCGTTAACAGGCTGGCTGTCAGGATACAAAGCAACTTATGCTTGGATTTAATGGATTGTGTGGAGTGTCTTCCCTTGCAATGTTTACAGTTGTTGTCCATGCTATCAGATAGCGGTTTGCCCAGTCCATCTACTCTACCTAATGGTATACTCAGTACGGAAAAATGGACGTGAGGTTTCGTTGTCCCAATGAATTCAATATGCGTGTTGATATCTTCTCGGGTCATGCAGAAACATGTTATAGTTCTGATTCCTGATTCTGGTTACGATTCTTAATTCTAGTTATGATCCTCAATTCTAGTTGTGATCCTTGATTCTAGTTATGATCCTTCATTATAGTTATGATCCTTGATTCTGGTTACGATCCTTGATTATAGTTATGATCCTTGATTCTAGTTATGATCCTTGATTACAGTTATGATCCTTGATTCTGGTTACGATCCTTGATTCTAGTTATGATTCTTCTCCTTGATTCTAGTTGTGATCCTTGATTCTAGTTATGATCCTTGATTCTAGTTATGATCCTTCATTATGATCCTTGATTCTTATGATCCTTGATTCTAGTTATGATCCTTGATTCTAGTTATGATCCTTGATTCTAGTTATGATCCTTGATTATAGTTATGATCCTTGATTCCTTGATTCTAGTTATGATCCTTGATTCTGGTTATGATCCTTGATTCTAGTTATGATCCTTGATTCTAGTTATGATCCTTGATTCCTTGATTCTAGTTATGATCCTTGATTCTGGTTATGATCCTTGATTCTACTTATCATCCTTGATTCTAGTGGTCATCCTTGATTCTAGTTATGATCCTTGATTCTAGTTATGGTCCTTGATTCTAGTTGTGATCCTTGATTCTAGTTATGATCCTCAATTCTAGTTACGATCCTCAATTCTAGTTATGGTCCTTGATTCTAGTTATGATCTGTGATTTTAGTTATGATCCTTGATTCTAGTTATGATCCTTGATTCTAGTTATGATCCTTGATTCTAGTTGTGATCCTTGATTCTAGTTGTCATCCTTGATTCTAGTTATGATCCTTGATTCTAGTTATGATCCTTGATTCTAGTTATGATCCTTGATTCTAGTTATGATCCTTGATTCTAGTTGTCATCCTTGATTCTAGTTATGATCCTTGATTCTAGTTATGATCCTGATTTTAGTTATGATCCTTGATTCTAGTTGTCATCCTTGATTCTAGTTATGATCCTTCATTCTAGTTGTGATCCTTGATTCTAGTTATGATCCTTTATTCTAGTTGTCATCCTTGATTCTAGTTATGTTCCCCGATTATAGATATGATCCTTGATTCTAGTTATGATCCCCGATTATAGTTATGATCCTTGATTCTAGTTGTCATCCTTTATTCTAGTTATGATCCTTGATTCTAGTTGTGATCCTTGATTCTAGTTATGGTCCTTGATTCTAGTTATGGTCCTTGATTCCAATTATGATCCTTGATTCTAGTTATGATCCTTGATTCTAGTTATGGTCCTTGATTCTAGTTATGATCTGTGATTTTAGTTATGATCCTTGATTCTAGTTGTCATCCTTGATTCTAGTAATGATCCTTGATTCTAGTTGTGATCCTTGATTCTAGTTATGATCCTTGATTCTAGTTGTGATCCTTGATTCTAGTTATGTTCCCCGATTATAGTTATGATCCTTGATTCTAGTTATGATCCCCGATTATAGTTATGATCCTTGATTTTAGTTGTCATCTTTGATTCTAGTTGTGATCCTTGATTCTAGCTATGATCCCCGATTATAGTTATGATCCTTGATTCTAGTTATGATCCCCGATTATAGTTATAATCCTTGATTCTAGTTGTCATCCTTGATTCTAGTTATGATCTTTGATTCTAGTTATGATCCTTGATTCCAATTATGATCCTTGATTCTAGTTATGATCCTTGATTCTAGTTATGGTCCTTGATTCTAGTTATGATCCTTGATTCTAGTTATGATCTGTGATTTTAGTTATGATCCTTGATTCTAGTTGTGATCCTTGATTCTAGTTATGATCCTTGATTCTAGTTGTGATCCTTGATTCTAGTTATGGTCCTTGATTCTAGTTGTCATCCTTGATTCTAGTTATGATCCTTGATTCTAGTTATGATCCTTGATTCCAATTATGATCCTTGATTCTAGTTATGATCCTTGATTCTAGTTATGGTCCTTGATTCTAGTTATGATCTGTGATTTTAGGTATGATCCTTGATTCTAGTTGTCATCCTTGATTCTAGTTATGATCCTTGATTCTAGTTGTGATCCTTGATTATAGTTGTGATCCTTGATTCTAGTTATGATCCCCGATTATAGTTATGATCCTTGATTCTAGTTATGGTCCCCGATTATAGTTATGATCCTTGATTCTAGTTGTCATCCCCGATTCTAGTTATGATCCTTGATTCTAGTTGTGATCCTTGATTCTAGTTATGATCCCCGATTATAGTTATGATCCTTGATTCTAGTTATGATCCCCGATTATAGTTATGATCCTTGATTCTAGTTGTCATCCTTGATTCTAGTTATGGTCCTTGATTCTAGTTATGGTCCCTGATTCCAATTATGATCCTTGATTCTAGTAATGATCCTTGATTCTAGTTGTGATCCTTGATTCTAGTTATGATCCTTGATTCCAATTATGATCCTTGATTCTAGTTATGATCCTTGATTCTAGTTGTGATCCTTGATTCTAGTTATGATCCCCGATTATAGTTATGATCCTTGATTCTAGTTATGATCCCCGATTATAGTTATGATCCTTGATTCTAGTTGTCATCCTTGATTCTAGTTATGATCCGTGATTCTAGTTGTGATCCTTGATTCTAGTTATGGTCCTTGATTCTAGTTATGGTCCTTGATTCCAATTATGATCCTTGATTCTAGTTATGATCCTTGATTCTAGTTATGGTCCTTGATTCTAGTTATGATCCTTGATTCTAGTTATGATCCTTGATTCCAATTATGATCCTTGATTCTAGTAATCATCCTTGATTCTAGTTTTGATCCTTGATTCTAGTTATGGTCCTTCATTCTAGTTATGATCTGTGATTTTAGTTATGATCCTTGATTCTAGTTATGATCCGTGGTTCTAAGTATTGTTGTTGAATTGGGTGTATGTTCTTGGT